TACAAAAAAAAAAAAAATCTTAATATTTATTTGTTTGCTTTATTAAACATTTCTTTCAATGTAAGTTGTTTAAGTTGCTTCATTTTTTGTTCTAATACTTTCTCTTTAATTCTATAAACAGAAATTTCTTCTTCAGTTACAAAGTTCCACTGTTCAAGTCCTGTAATTGCTGTGTCGAGAATACCGACTAACTTGTGAATTGAAATTTTTTCGTTTTCAAATAACGATCGGTTTCTTCACTGTCGGAAGCGCACATGGATAAACGCTTTACGCGCATGCGTAAGTTTGTGACTTTGAGGTCCGGATTACGGACTTTGTACTGTACATGCAAAATTTTACTATAGTTTTCATTCTTTTATATACAGCCTCTGAAAAGGTTAATATGAGCATTTGTCCAATAATTTTTTCAAATGATCAAATAATTTTTGTTAAAAAAGTTCAAGTATGTGTACAATGTTCAAATTGATTAATTAATGTAAGGATATTTCTACGTATTTTTATTTATCAGTGGGCTTATTTCCATGTGAGCATATATATATGTGAGCTTTTTCCCGTGTGAGCATATGTCTGTGTGGGCTTTCTTTCTGTGTGTTTTTTTCCTAGAACCATTAAGATATTTACATCATTAAAGAAACAATAATAAAAAATATTTTAAATTAGAAGCTAATATATAGCAAGACAAAACAAAACAAAAAAACTCCTAGTTAGATAAAGGTGGTCTCGAGACTCGTGTTAAACATTATAAGACCCAAACTCAGGGGATGAAACAAATGCGAAACATTCTCAAAATTATATAACACAAACTATTTTCACTTAAAAAAACTGATGTAAGTAATATATCAAGCTGAATTTAATATACAAAATTTCAAATTGCAACAATTTTATAACTGGCTATCTGAAATCAATCCTTTCCAACATAGAAGGCATTTCTAAGAAACTTACAATTTGAAATCTTAACATCAATGCTTTAATAGCATTTGTAAAGAGTTCCTCAAAATTCTGAAGATTGGTTATCTTGGGTAACTTTAGCTACATGATGGTACTTTTTTTGGGGTTGGGACAAAAAGATTAATCTGGTAATGAAACACTTTTACTAATGAGCATTTTATTTCCGCTAAAAAGCCTGTATAATAGTTGTTTAGTAAATGGTATTATGTGACTCAAATTTTTACAGACTGAATGCCTAGCTAAATTAAATCAATCCTTAAACGAATTCTTTCCATGAATGTTAGAGCTATTTCCCAACAGATGTCATAAAATACTTTTTTGAATCACCCAGAATTGACTACAATCCACTATGAGAATGTTATTTTCTACATTTCCTGAAACATATGCACAGCTCATTGCAACCCCATTTAAAAAATCCCACTATTTCAAATCTGAATATTTTTGTGAAGTACATATACTTACATGCATACACACATTTCAAAACTATTTTATTAACAATGTAATATATTTTTTTAAAATTGATTTAAAACTCATTTATGATTCACTACATTAATTCACATAATTTCCCATCTGTTTAGTTTCTCAACATTTTTAAAGCTAAACTTGCCTTTTGAAGGAAAGGGCTTACTTCTGGGAGCTACTATGCTTATATTTTTCTTTTCTAACAATTAAAAACTCCAGCATGGAATTTTGATGCAGACAATTGCTTTTCACTTAACCCTTTTAGATTAGAATTTGCAGTATGCACATCAGCAAGTTTTGGAGTATGAAGGACAGCCGTAAAAAGAGAATGGTTTATAGAATGTAGAGAATTTTGATAAATTGTCCAGTTATGCAATAAATTATCTCTATAACTTTTACCAATAGTCATCAGAAAGATTTCCTGATCCGAAGATTTCATGTGTAGTTTTGTGTATTGAGATTAAACTTTTCAGTCTGTGTAGTATCCAAGCTGTTACTGTTCAATGATGTTCTTTAGAGATTTCTGATTTATTATCACCCATATAATTAGATAAACATTAAACAATGGGTTTGCAGAAGCAAGTTAAAACAGATTTAATCTAATTTGATGTTTTATCGTAATTTCTCGCACCAAACCTTATGAGGTTATCTGCGCCAAACAGAAGGGTAGAAACAGACTACAATTTAGTATAAAAGTCAATATCCCTTAAAAACTGGAACAATATGTAACGGTGGAATTCTATATTAAGTTTTTTTAGATCTAATTTTAAACAAAATATTTTTACGAAAATAACTAACTATGACATTCTAATATAATATGGCGGACTCTCAGATCTGCATTACAGTTTGCGCAATGGAGATTCTTCTCGCCTTTAAGAAAATATTCGTGAGTCAGTCAACAATGCCTCTTTTCAACCAGATTAAGAAAACTCTTCCTTTCTATTTGCCATAGATAGCTAGCATTCAATTATGGTTTTAACATTTCTCAATTTGTCGTTTGTTCGGCCATCACAATGTCTCTGCCATTTATTAAAATTTTTATATTTAATCATCGCCCTGATATCTGTGAGTGGGATCTGGAAATCAGACATCGTAACAGCAGTTTTAGTTGTAATGTCTGCCAGTTCATTTTCTTTGAGGCTAGTGCGGCCAGGGATCCAGGAACAGCAAGTCCGATATCCCCAACATTTTAGAGTATGATTAAGCTTCAGAATTCTGGTAATGTTCTGCAGATTATACCTAGGCTCTTTGAATGATATTAGGATACTCAAGGAATCTGTATAGATAATGAAATTCCTGTAACATTGTTTTGACTGAAACGTTAAAGCCTGAGAAACTGCAGTAAGTTCAGAGGTAAAAATAGAACGAGCTGGGTGTAAGAGAAGCCCCACAATTGTTTTTTCTACTATGAAGGCTGCACCAACATGATCTCGGATTTTGAACAATCTGTATAGAGAGGGATATAGTTTCTATATTTATGTCTATGTTACGCAAAGGCCTGCATGTAAATCACATCACTTGTGCTACATTTATCCCAGTAATGGAAGGTACAGTACAAAATCCAAGATCCAAAAATCCAATATCCAGAATAATCTAAAATCCGTACCTCAAAGCCACCAAGTACTTTTTTTAATGCTTTACGCATGCGCATTTCATTTTCCCCCTCTTTAATAAAACATGCGAAGAGTCCTGATACTTAATTTCACTTTGGCACTAAATAAAATACCTTGTTATTGAAGAAACAATCATTTTAGCATAAATTTGTATGATCACTAATTTGGTCCTGTAGCTGCGTATGTTCTTGGCATACATCTCAAACAGAAACATTCTGTACATAAAAACACTGTTGATTTTACACTTACTAATATTTTATATCCCTGATACCAACCTGGAGAACCATTATTTATTATATTTTGCTTTTATCACTGCATATTTATCAACACATGACAACTTGAGTAATGACTCATGCAGCGATGCCTAAACTTTTTTTTTAGAAGTAATTAAATAACAAAGTTCATAATGACCTTTTATGTTGACATTACGCTTGACGATGATTACAGATTAAGTTAAATGTGCTAAAAAATGTTGACGAGGACAGATTTAACAAAAATTTCTTTCTATATTTTAAAAGTAGATTTTGTTAATGATGCTCATAGACCAAAAGAATAAATTTTGTGCTATTTGAATTAAGAATAACTGATTTGTTATTCACATAAACCCTGAACTCATATGACCGCACGAGGCAGCAGAATTTAGGGAAGACAAAATTTTTGGAATTTAGAGAAGCACCGAGCAACGAAATTAAGGGATGACAAAATTTTTATGTGAGAATTTTTTTTAGAATTGAGGGAAAGCACAGAGATCCAAAATTTAGGGGCAGCAAAAATGCAGATTTTAGAGAGGCACTTCATAGCAGAATTTAGGACCCATAGAGATTGCATCAGGCAGTACACCATATCTAGTGCTGTGCCCTCGATAAGATAAGCCTTAAGCATGTGCAAGAAATAGATGTTAGTATAATAAATAACTAAAATAATACAATTTAGGCTTAGTTGTCTCAGTGCACGATAGAAGCAAGACATAATTTAAGGATAAAACTTGTCTTTGGTCAACAATCTCATGGTACATAGACTACAATGTATAGCAGATGCTGTTAAGCTAGGCTAAAATTATACTTTATTGATTCCAAGGAATTTCAGTTAATATAGCTGATTGCATTGTTCCTTAACTTTCTTATTTGATCCAGCTTATTATTTTTTTGCAGGCTGTTATTATCACAGCAATTTTATGAAAATTAAAGTTTTAACTTTCGATTATGTCGAAAAGAGTTTTTAATTCTGGAGCTGCAACATGATCTACAAAGCGAAAGCAAGTTTCGATGTCCATTAAACAAAAACTGAAACTGCTGCAAAAAATGGATAAAGGTATATCAATCTCAAAATTACACGAGGTGTATGACACTAGAAAGTCAATCATTATATTCAAAAAATAGTATATATATTGATTGCCATCTTTTTTTAGTCTGAATACTTCAGCTAAAACTTTAGAATATCAGTTTTTGCTGTTTCTATATAAGATAAACAGCAACAATACATTTTTCTTATAAGGCAAACTTAGTATGCTCAGACAAAAAGTTTGACTACTCATTGTATAAAGTTTTTTTTATAGTAGTCTGTGGATAATGTATTTGTTGTTAAACAGAATTTTAGGCAGATTTTAACAGATTTACTGTTTACAGAGTCTATATCTCGTAAATCTGAAAATTTCGAATTTGAGAAAATAGAAAATCTGAAAATTCAGCGACATTCGGACCACAATCACTCCCATATACAAATATACAAAGCAGTGGCAAACTTTTATTATCTGAGTGTGGAATCATATCTTTCTTTGAATACAAAATTACCAAAATTCATTTTCATGCAAGTTCACGCAGCTTAATGATACAGAATCAAATACACATTGTTTCAAATAATGACCCTTCATTAAATGTGTGTTAGTTATCCAGAAGTTGATTTATTCTTGCATGAAGAATGCTTGATTGGAGTCTCCTTAAGTTCCCCCCCCAAAAGAATGGAAATCTACAAACAGAATTCTCTTATAATCATTTATTTAAATCCAATGGTATTTAATTATATATTATTTCAAATAAGGGTACCAAAAAGTAGCCACAGATCAGTATAACAAATCTTTTTATATATACATAAAAATAAAGAAAATTCTTGTGTAAACATACAACAGTATAAAAATATTAATGAAATCTGCAGGAATTATACAAAATAATCATTTCAAACAAAACAAAAGATACACTATTACAGCTGCGCCACTGAAAGGATTAGTTTGCCTTTGGAACTTTTTTTATGTATTACATCTTCATGAGCTGCAGCACATTCTTCAAGTGAATATTTCTTCTCGATAACTGGTTTAACCCAACCATCCTTAATGCCATCTAAAATACCTTGCGATATCAAATTCCATTCATCCTATATCAACAAACAAATGAAATGCTACTAGTTTATCTTAAACAATCTATTATCAGATTTCCACAAAACAAATATAACTATTTATTTACATTTAACACATATTTGTAAATTTACAAAATTTTTCAGGGGAAAAAAACTTACATTAATGCTATTCAATAAAGCAACACCAACAACTTGTAATTCACGTCCCATCATTTTGCGTGGATCAATTTTAATACTTCCTCGACTTCCAACAATCTAAATAATTCAATATTATACATATGTATATAATTGTATAAGATTTTACACTTATAATAATAATAATAATATAATAATAATAAAATAAAAAAAAAAAAAAAAGAAAATTTTTCAGATTTTAATTACGTCCAAAGGGGCGTTTTTTTTAACGTTTTGAGTGTTACCTTTATTTATTAAATATCACGTTCTTTGTTAAATTAATTTCAGAATTTCATAGAGTACCTCGTATTGTTAATATTTTTTACCATTCTCGCTTTTAAAGCATTAGTTTGTAAATCAATTCGTTAAAGTTTACAAAATATAAAAATCTATAATAAAACAAATTCAAATTTGGGATTTCAGATGCCCATACAGTAGGATTTCGTTCTTCAAACTATGTACCATTGTTTTATCACAATGCGAGAAATAGACAATCATTTGCAGATTTTTCATTATTTAATTTCTTCAAATATAATGCAGGACTCTAACATTTGTGGCAACAGTTTGAAAAGTGAACCGACGTTTATGCGATCCGACAAAATGCCAAAACGAAAGCAATAGTCCTTCGGGACTGAATCCCTTTGGATCAATAAAACATTCATTGTGGTCCACAAAATGCATTATTTTTATACATTAATTACTGTAATGTAAGAATGAATATATGGGAGCATTTCGAAAAGTAAAGATACAATGGCTCGCATTCCTTAAAGGAAAAAAAAAAAAAAAATTATTTAGAAAAGGTCGGTTACATTTTATTAACTGGATTATTTATTATTTTTCGACATAATCACCCTCGTTATCAAACATTTTTAAGTCGGTGCACAAGCTTTTGTATCCCACAGTCATAGAAGGTTGCCACCTGTCGGAACCCAGTGCGCACACAATTTCCTGTACCCTAACTTGACAGTCACAACTTCATAAAGAGTTGTCATTGACACTTCCGGTATGATCTGATGAAATTCTTTCAATTTGAGATGTCCAGGCACATGAATTGCTTCCTCTGTTCTCTGAAGATCATCAGAGATCACAGATAGCCGACCTGTTCTTTGTTCGTCATGAACATCGGTTCTACCTTCAGAGAAATGACGACACCATTTCATTACATTTTGTCGATTCATGATGTTCTTTATGAATATCCACTGGTCGCTGACCTTTTGCATGAAGAAAACGTATGACGGAGCGCACATCGCATTTGGCGGGATTTTGAATCAGCGCAGCCATTTTAAACACGACCTACTCCAACCAAAATCAACGTTGAAATGCCGAACGACCGCGAGGAGAAAGCTAACAGTTCAAGATTAATACCTGTGTTGCCAACTTGCTCACCAAAACTTTTCTTTATCCCTGGCATATGGTGTATCTTTACTTTTTGAGATGCCCTCGTAAATTTAAAATACTTTTCCTTTTTTATTCTTATATATATGTTACCAGCAAAGTTTGAAATCTGGTATTCTGTAGAATGCTTAGGCATTGCATATATGCCTAAAACTAGCCAGCAGTGTATGAAACAATTCATATTTCCCACATTCTATAGAATGCCAAATGTGAAACCGGCAAAGTATGAAATACATCTTCGATTTGTTTCATATATCACATGGCGAGGCACATGGCATTTAACGTTCGCCTCAGACTCAGAATTTGTCTGTGGTTTGTTCGGAAGTGTCAAAATACGCTATTTTACCTAAATTTGTTCAACAAAAAATTAGTTTTTTTACTGTGCTGCACGAAAATGGAGGAGAAAGTAGTAGTATTGGAGGAGGAGTCGTGGTCTATAAATATGAAACAACGATTTGACGAACTGTCCAAAATTTGAGTAATGCTATAAAAAACAGTTTTTTCTTAACCAAAACTACTTACCAGAAGTTAATAAATGATGTGCAAAAAGGCAAAATGACTACTAAGAAGGAATTCAGGGACTATTGGTTGCTGCATTGCTATGATCTGAGAAAACCAAAAAGAACTGAAGAAGTAGCCTGCAACCTAGTGAACATATTCTCGTTGCTTGGAGTGCCATCTATATTACAGTCTGACAATGGTAGGGAATTTGCCAATAATGTAGTGACCAGCTTGATGGAGTTTTGAAGATTGTCCATGAGAAGCCTCGCCATTCACAAAGCCAGGCCAGTGTCAAAAGAGCTAATCAAGATATTGAAAATGTGCTCTGTACTTGGATGTAAGACAACAAATCTGACTGCTGGAATGAAGGACTGCATTTTGTTCAATTTATGAAAAATAGAGCTTATCATTCTAGGATCAAAAGAACATCATAAAAAGCTCTTTTCAGCTGTGAACTTAAAGTAGGGCTTAAAATGCCTTTTCTATTTGAAGATGCTTTAAAAGACATAAATACAGAGGAGCAGCTAGAAAAAGTAATAGAAAAAGGTGAAATTAATCAGATTATGCAAGAAAAAGAGCCTGTTTAAAAAAACATGGATGATATTATAGTCGATCAAACCAACATGATGAAGATGTGCTTACCAAAGAGATTTCTGTTTCTGATACCTGTTGTGTGGTATTTAAAGAAAACAAGTGATGCAATTGCATGCAAAAAGTGTCGTAAAAAAATTCATAACTTCTGTGGCCATGCTAGCAAAGATGATGAAATGATATTTTGTGCACCCTTTGTTTTAAAATTGAAAATGCTATTGAAGGTAAAATAAATTCTAAAATCAATCTGAAAATATAAGCCAAAAAATTTCCCACTGCTTCTTTGGGAACTACTGTGCGAGTTACTATTCCTGACACCAACAAGTGATGAAGTGATTTGCACAATACATTGCCAGTAGTAATGAGTGTGACAGAGGATGGTTTTTACAGACTTGGAACTTCTGAAGGAATTTTAAAACAAGTATATGTGAGATTACAATTCACTTATGTCCTAAGAACTTGCTTAGAATTGAAGATATTCCTGACCATGAAATTTCTCTCTGGTCAGTTGCGATTGCTCAGTCCAGTGCATTGGTTCTCAATTAGGGCATTGAGAGGATGCTGAGGGGCGATGAGCATATTTTGGGTGGTAGGGAGGGCAGTAAGCATGTTTTGGCATTCAAACAAAATTTTAAAACTCATTCAAAATTTATTAAATCGATTATCCGGTTTATACCATTTGTACCAGCAATAAAATTAACTTAGACGATTCTCCTAAGAATGGTGAGGCGAATTTATATTCTCGGTAGGATGACCTTGAAGAACTCGACACCATGGTTTTTCTGTGATCCCAACCAGCACAGCTTATGCGTCAGCTATTTCCATGTGCCATTAATCACAGTGCATGTGTTGAGCATCCTTTCAACATGAATGTTGGATTTGACCCGTCTTTCTTGTGTTGCTTTTCATTTGCTTCATTTCTGTCCCTCTCTCAGTTTTGATTTACTTTCATTGTTTATTTGACCAGTTGCCCAGGAGTTCCTTATCACAATTGTGAATTATTATCACAATTGTGAATTTATCTTTCTCTCATCATATTTTGCTGCCACCAATGATGTCATTTAATAAACAGAAATGTCATCAATACAGTTCTATGTATTTGAAGTTTGGATTCATTCCTTTGCCGTTGAACTTGCAACTGCCCATGTGCTTATTTTGTAACAAAGTGTTATCCTAATGAGGCAATGAAACTCTCTCGTTTGCATAAGCATCTGCAAAAAATTCATCCTAACAAACAAAATAAAGATTTGTCGTTTTTCGCGATCAGAGACAAGTTCCTGAAAGCATCGTCAGTCTCAGGCTTACTAGTAGTGTCATCAAAACAATGTGAAGATGGTTTGATAAAATATCAAATCTCTTACAAAATATCAAAATTAATTGCTAAACCAAGGAAAGCTCATACCATCGGAGAAGAGTTGATACTGTCAGCTGTCAAGAAAGTTTTAGAAACGGTTTTACACCATCCAGCCACATCCAATATTATATAAAATGTACCACTATGCAATGATACAATGCAACAATGAATTGATGAGATGGCAGAAGACATTAAAGTTTCCCTATGCAAACTTTTGAAACTCACCAAATTTTCTCTTCAGGTTGTTGAAGCAACTTTGCCAAATAATGAGGCTTTACTGTTAGCATATGTGCAGCTTGTGAAGGAAGAAAAAATTATTCAAGAGATGCGTTTTGCAAAAAGCTGGATTGCAGATACTAAAATAGATTCACTTTTAGTATCTGCAATCGAAATGTCAAAGATTATTTTAAAGAGAAAAATATTCCTCTTGCGAACATTATGCCTGTTGCCACCGATGGAGCTCCTGCAATGGTGGGCCATCATTATGGGTTCATCACTCTTTTTGAAGATAGAGGTACCGAGTATTTTAGCTGTTCCCTGCATAATTCACTAGCAGCATTTAGTTGCAAAAAACCTCAGCAACCGTTTTTGCATCAATCGTTACAATGTGTCATCTCTGCTGTGAACAAAATTCTCAGTAATTCTCTTAATGATCGATTATTCAGGCAGCTGTGTAAGGACAAAGATGAAGAATTCAATCATTTGCTTTTACACACTGAGGTTCGCTAGATCTCCAAAGACGCCTGCCTCAGTAAGTTCTGGAACCTTTTCAACTCCATACTTTAGTTCTCAAAGAGAAAGATGTAGCTCTGAAAGACAGATTGCTACAATTTAAGATTGATGTTGCTTACATGACAGATTTATTCACAAAATTCAATGGATTTAAAATTTTGGTTGCAACAAATTCAACCAGTTTTCGATCTTGTCGGATCTGCATAAGAGCAGTGAAATCCAATTCAATAAAACACAAGTTTACTGTCAACACTTTGAGTCTTTTCACAAGGACTTTTCTGAGCGTTTTGAGGATATTTTGTCCCTGGAATTTCCTCAATGGATCATGAACCCTTTTATGAATATTGAGAAAGCACAGGTTCAGATTCAGGAGGAACTAGTTGAACTTTCAACTAATGAAACTATGAAAGCCAGCTTTCAGAATGGTAATTCTCTCCCAGTCTTTTTGGCTTTAAAGTAGTATAAGTCACCTCTACCATGGATTGCATTCTATTGTCAAAGAATTTTTAATTGCCTTCCTTTCCTACTACATGGTCAAGCAAGGATTCAGTGCTGCAACTGATGTAATTACAAAAAGAGAGCCGACTCCAAATCGTGGAAAAAGGGGATTTGCAACTTCATCTCAATAAAAATATTGAACCGAATGTTCAGAAACTGGCTTTGAAACATTTAGCATAACCAACCCACTGATCACCCTTGATTTTTTCATTGACATTACTTGTTTAGTGTATTGGAATGTAATTACCTTCCAGGACAAAGCTATCGAGTTAAAATACAAACAAACAAATAAATTTGGTGTGCAAGTCTCCTGTAAAAAAATTACTTAACATTTTTGCCTTTTATAATTCAGGTACCCCCCTTTCTCATACCCTAAATTATAGGATTTTTGCATAAGTTGCATTGAAAAATGTTTCACTCCTTAGGGGGCGACAGTTTTAAAAAGGTCGAGAATCATTAGATCCAGTGAAAGAACCCAAAGATTCATCAACTGTATGCACAAAACATAATGAAATGTAATTCAAGCCTATGTTGCAACAAGTAGGTTAATTTTAATTTCTTATTTTTTTATATGAAAATTTTGTTCCCCTTAATAAGAAAGGCATACATTTTTTAATACAACTTTTGTTTTTCTTTACGTATTTTGAATAATTTTGTTATGGCACTCTCATTACTTTTTCAGAATAAATCTATATAATGCCTAGAGAAAGTATGTAATAATTCTCATATTTCATACTTTGACTAAAAATGTACAGCATTCTGTATTTCATATTTTGCTGGTAACATATATATAAGTAAACAAGGTAATTATTAGTGTGCAAAATAAATTTAAAATCCATCTCATATTCAATTCAGAATAAACCATATGCAAAAAAACAAAAACTAAAAGCATGCTCGCAAACTGCATGAAAAAAGGCAAAAAATGCCAAAACCAAAACAGAAAAAAGAAATTTACATCTTTTGCTGCATCATCATCATGGAGTTGATGCAACACACGAAGTAAAAAAATATATATTTTAATTTATTCTGCATTATTATCACCACTTGTTTCTACTTTCACTGTGTAACTGGATTAGGTTTTGAACTGCTTTTTACTTTGTATTTATATTTATATATATATATATATACAATATCTGGGTTGAAGAAAGTAATTTTGGTTAGAGAAATAGATAGCGGTATTTAAGAAAGACACGTGAACAATACTAATCAGAAATCAAACAAAAAAAATCAGCATTTTATTTCAAAATTTTCAAAGGACTAGTTCGATGGTTTACCGAACCCCATCCCAGCTGCAAAACGGCAAATGACAAGATAAGAAATAATGATTAGATAAGTAAGAAAGTATGGACAAGAATAAGCAAGTGGCGCCATCTGTTGATGAAACATCAAGGCTTTCTTATCTTATCTAATCATTATTACCTATATTGTTCATTTGCGCTTTTGCAGCTGAGGATGGTGGTTCGGTAAAACCATTGAAACTAGTCCTGTGAAAATTTTGAAAATATAACGCTGATTTTTGTTGTTTGATTTCTGAATTAGATAGCGGTATCTTTGTTTTTTTAAATGTTCTGTCAATCTTATATATATATATATTCTTTTGAGAGTTGGCAGCTCACATTTTTAGGTTGCCACATAAACAAATTCTGTATATTTTTGTTGAAAACTTTTATAACTTATGGTGAGTTTTGACATGCTGTGCAAAACAAATATTTTTGACATATCTTAAATTTTGTTCCAGAGATTTTTCACTTGAAGATAACTGATGTCCTGGCTGACCTTCTGAATTTGATGATGTCAAAATCAAAGGCATAACTGAATAGAATCATTATATAACTGTGCAAGAGACTACAAAAAGCTTAAATGTGTCACACACAAGAACTGAAAATCACATAGAATATCTTGGACTCGCTAAGAACCTTAATACTTGGGTTCCCTATGACTTTAAAGAAATTCACATAACACAACGAATCAATATTTGCGATACACATTTTGAACATAATGCAATCGATACTTTTTAAAATTAATTATCACTGGTGATGAAAAATGGATAGTCTACAATAACATTAATCAAAAAAGATCATAGTCCGAGCATTATGAATCAGCACAAATCATATCGAAAGTTAAATTTCATGCCACCAATTTGGTAGTATTACAAAGATGTTGTGCATTTTCAGCTGCTTCCGAGCACTCGCACATATTTAACAACTTGTATAAAATTACTGGAGCTTGGCTAGGAAGTGATATTGCATCTCCCAAATAGCCCCGACCTTGCACCACTGGATTATAATTTATTTCGAAGTTTACAAAACTTCTTAACCCTTAACAATCCTCTCCTGTCCACGAAAATTTCTCCACAGCGGCCCTTTGTTTTTCGCAGCATGTAATGTTGTTTTCTCTGTACATACATAACTTTCGTAGTGAATGAATGTAAATGAATATTAAGTAAAATTATAAGGAAATAAAGCATAATGGAAAAGTAATAATATCTCTGCTTATTTCTAACAGCAGGACTAATTTGATAACATCTGATCCAGGCAGTCTACTCTTTCTATTTTGTTGTTGTAATCTTTTACAATTATTGCTTACAGTTCTTTTCCGTGTTTAACACAATCATAGAGTTATTATGACTTTACTCATCCAAATTATATCCTTCTTGCTTCCAATTCAAACCTCATTTTTTCTATTTTCTGTGAGTAAATTGAACTCTGTCTTGGTATCTTATGTAAAATGGTGTAAATATTCATAAAACTCGGGGGGGGGGGTTCAATTAGAAATAGAATGCCTGATTAGTACTGCTCTCTAGAAGGTATTAGAACAAACAAAAATAAAAACTCAAGTAAACGTTAAACTCAAGTAAAAGCGTTTTAAACATTTAAAAGTTTTAAAATGTAGAAGAATGCTAGAAGCATGTTACGGCCGCCCTGCAGAAGTTTCACTTGAATGCGCTAGACGCGTTTCGGATGATGAAAAGGTTAAATGGCAAAAATTTCAGCATGAATGATGACCTCAGATTGTACTTAGGTGAGTTTTTTGTTGATAAAGACCAGAAGTTCAATGAACACAGACTCATGAAGTTACTAGGAAGACGGCAAAGGTCATGAAACAGAATGGAAGATATCTGACTAATTAAAGTTTATTTTTTGTATAGAAAAAAACTGAGTTTTATTTGACACCAAAAAATTGAAATTATTTTTTTGCCAACCTGATATATACATTATAGATGCACATACATATGTACAACAAAGAGTATATAAAATAAAATCCTAACTTTATTTACAACAATCCCTCAAGTCTCTTAATTAATTTGTCTATTTCTCTTCCTATCATAAAAATAGTAATATGCAGGTAATAAATCTGTCTAAACTTGCCTCATTTCAAAATTAATCCTAGTCTCATAACTTTTATATAATGCTTATGGTTCATGTTTAATTAAACAATTATTTTTAAAATATTGTTGTATAAACTAAAGAGTTGGAGTATTGGAGAAAGTTAAAGTATTGTAGAATTTTATGGATTATATGCCATGTTTTCCTGAGTTTTGTTTACATATCTTCCACTCTAATTTTTATATTTGGATTGTTTGCACAAACACCTATAAAGATATATCCACCAGCTCAAAATTTATTTCAGATTTATACAATAAGAAATGGTTACCTTTTTTTCTTTAAATATACAAAATAAAATAATGTGAATATAAAGTATTACAAAGAAAAAAGAATAAATGAGAGAAAAGTATCTTGAGAAAGTAAGGAAATCTTGTGTAAAAATGGGCCAAAATATTTTATGCAAAAACAAAAACTGATAAATTTATAAGCATAATTTTCCTACTCTTAAAGAAAATAACAATCAATACACTGTTTATCAAAATCTCTGCCATGAGGTCTTCTCAGAATTTAATTCCCACACTAATTGTGTCATAACATTCTATGCTCATGCAAGTTGAGTATTAACGTTATTAGCAATTAATTTAAGTGCTAAAATGAAATCTCGCCTATATTAATGTTTGTAGCTCATTTTTCACAAGAGAAATGAATGTTTTTCAATGAATGAATGACAGAAAAATTCTGCAACTGCTATTTTTAATAATTTTTTCTTATTTGAAGCCGACATAAACAAATCAATTATGAGGTCCATGTAAATTGCTACTCAGTGACTGAAGAATAGTAGATGAATAAATTCTGAACATGTGCTAACCACATAATCTCAAAATTGAATTTTAAAAGACAATTCATTATATATGTAATCGGTGGAATTTATGTAAAACGAAAAATTTGCAGAAATTAATAAACCTGGTTTACTAGAGAACTACAGCTCTGATTGGCACGCAGAAAATGTTAATTTCACCATAACATAACTTCATTTTTTCTATAAAATTATGTTATAAAGTGCATTTTCATTAAAACGTTAATCAATATGAAAATATTTGGTTAAATTTGGCAAATTCATTTTATTAAATCAAAATTTAGTTTGTTTTTATCCAAAAAAGTTATTTTTCTGTTAATTACAACTAATTTATTGCAGTGTTAAAAAGACATATCTCACTAAGCTTTACTTTTTATATATAGTAGTTAATTAATAAATTAATTTCTTAGATCAAATTATTTATAAACGTGTATTCTGTTAAAAATTATGAGTTAACCTGCTATAAAACAGCTTATCAAAAATGATGCTGTTTGTGATAAAATGCTCATTTGGATTAAATCAAAATGTAATTACAATCTATTTTTTTTCCTTATTCAGTATAAATAATTTACTATAATGTATTACAATTTAAAAACACAGTCCATTAGGCTTTACTTTTCTGCACACAGTAAGCCGATAAACTGACTTTACAATCAAATAACTCTCTTATACTTACAGCAATACGTCCTCTAGGACTAAGAAGATCAAAATCTTTATCAAGATTTACGTTAGCAAGCATTTCTATAATAATATCTGCACCCTTGTTTCCATTTTTTTCCTGAAAATTTAAGAATGTTATTTTGCAATACACCAGTCAAATAGGTATTAAAAATATTTATTATAAAAACATTTTGATTTATAACAACTTTTTTATTTGCCCTGATCACAGGAGCCTTATAAGATTGCCAGAAATAAGTTGTAAGAATATTCATTTTGAATTTAAGCTGCAACTTAATATAAGTCTTAAAATTTTGAACAAAAGTATGGCTTAATTTCAGAGTAATATAGTGTTTTCGCTTTTAATTTATTTGATATACTCAAAATATATTTTATTTTTGAAGGCAGCATGCAGTTAAATTAATTTAAAGTAATAAAATAAAACCTTTCAGGGAAAGAAATATATAGGTAATATGCATCAAAAAAGGGTAAGATTTTCAAGAAAAATTTCAAATATCTGAAACAAATTTTTATTTTGCAAAAGAAATTTATAATAGTACAGCATTCAAAATGAAATCAGAGTTAAGAAGTGAACAAAAGTTTACTTAATATAGATATTTATCATAATATGCAAACAATTATTAATTACAGTGGAATCTTGGATCAAGAATGCCTTTACTTATGAACAAAAAACACTATGTCGAATTATGAATATTCAAGTCGGCAACATATGATTTTCAAAAGTATTTTGAGGTAACCTATGCCATATAATGAATAGTTAGGTCCTTCTGCTGGAAAAATGACTTTATATATTTTCTGTTGTTTAACTCTCATGAACAAAGGCTAGCAGCAGTGACTTACAGGGCAATGAATTCAACCTGGAAGAAACTACAGCCACATTGGAAATGCAAGCAAAGACTTTGAGTACTCTCATACTTGGACTTAAGTTTTTTTTTTTTTTTTTTTTTTTGGTTAGAATATGATATTGTGTGTACACAAAACCATAGACTAAGAAGTTAACAATAAAGGCATGAAGAAGTTACTACAGATCATAAAAATGAGCTTAATAAGAAAGAATTACAACTTCAGGGAGAAGCAATAAGAGGTAATTAAAGTCTTCTATAATCACCTCTTATTGCTGCTCCTGAAGAAAGACCCTAGTTCTCCGATTCATAAAATTTATGCTAAACAGAGTAATATCCAAAATTTTCATGTAATAATGTCACCCTGATAAAGCAGTTGCAAGCCAGAGGATAAATATTTGAAATGATGATGCAATGTCTCACTTCAGAAACATCACATTGGACAAATTTGAGTAAAACAAGAGTGGAAGCGCACTTGGATAAAAGAAAAGATAAAAGAAGGTGCTGAGAGAAATACCTGACATTTTTGGAAGTAAATTTCACATCAAAATACAAACATCTTATTTTCCACTCATACCTTTTGTTTCATGCTCTTTCCTTTGTATGGGCACAGAAAAATTAAATTTCTATCTATTCTATCTGCTTAATGTTGTATTTATATTTTTTGTTTTTAATGATTACAGTAAATTTTCGGTTATAAACTTGAGTACAAAGTATTGTTGTAAAGTTAAAATAAGCAATCATCAGTGGTTCAGGAATGATCTATTTTACATTAATTCCTATGGAGAAAATTGTTTTAATTTACAAACATTTTGTTGAGAGGAATGGCTTTCAAAAATGAATTAAGTTCAAGAACTATGGTATCACTACACTACACTAGTCATTTTCAAAAAGTATACAGTCAAAAGTCTTTAATCCGGACTCGTCGGGACTTCGGCAATTCCGGATTATCGATTTTTCCGGATTATAGATCATCAGTTTAAATCTGGTAAGATGGCATGCAGAAATTATAAAATTAAAAAATAGAAACCATAATTTATAAAATAATGAGCAATTATGATCTAAAGGGTATTAAAATTTACCAAAAAAGAAGCCTAATATTTATTTGTTTACTTTATTAAACATTTCTTTCAACGTGCGGATGCGTAAAGCATAGCCGAAATTAGAAAATTGCAACCAGAAAACTATTTGATTTGTATTCGTGATATTTATAATGACGAGGAATTTGATTTAAATCATATCAAAGACAGAGTACACCGAAATTAAATACTACATTAGTAAGGAATTATAAGCCGAATAAAATAAAAACATCTGCCCTGAAGATAACGATAGTGTTGACAAATCAAATTCCAGTTCATTGCGCGCCGCGACGTCCCCGCGCAGAGCAGCGTGAAATTGATAAACGATTTCGGATAGATAAACAAAAAGAATATGCCTTTATCCATTTTTGTAGCAATTCGTTTTTTGTTTGATGGAACATCGAAACATACTTCGTTTTCTAGATCCTTTGGGAGCTCCAGCATCGGAAATTCTATTTGACATAATCGAAAGTTCAAGCTTACTTTTAGAAAATTGCTCTTACAGTCTGCAAAAAAAATAAAGCCGGATCCAATTCGAAGATTAAAGAACAACGCAATCATCAATATTAACTGAATAGATAATTAGATAATTTAGCTTATACGCGTTATATTAACGCGCATGAAAACTATTCTGTTGCGACGCAAGCGCACGTAGCTATGGCACGTCAAGCGGCGATGGCAAAAGTTTACTTGAGGTCGATTATAGGTCCGAATTAACGATTTATGTTTTAAATGGATTGGTATTTATTTCAAGGTATCTGCGCCAGACAAATGGTAACAATGCAATTAGTCATTTGTAAAAACTTCCAGCTTAGGTAAAAAGAGACAGATTACAGTCTATGATAAGAGCTGATATCTTTTAAAAAACAGGTTAAAGTCTATTATAAAAGCCAATATCTTTTAAAAACAGAAACAAATTACGATGATGTGTTTTTCCAATTAAATTTCCTAAGTCCAGTTCTGAACAATTAAAATGTTTTTGGCGAAAATAATTAAAACTCTGGCATTCCACCAAGATATGATGGACTGTCAGATCTGCATTGCAGTTTGGGCAGCTGGGATTCTCTTCTCCCTTCAGAAGATACTCATGGGTCAGGCGACAATGGCCAATTCTCAGTCGAGTCAAGAGGACATCTTCCTTTCTATTAGCCATACATGGCCAGTATCCAATGGTGGGTTTTACATTTCTCAGCTTGTTATATACTTTGTCATCCCATTGCTTCTGCCATTTGCTGAGGAATTTTGCTTTTGACAAACCCTTTGATGTCTGCTAGTGGAATCTGAAGATTGTTGTTGTACATTGTGGTTGCAGTTTTAGCTGCAATATCCGCCAATTCATTCCCCTTAATGGCAACGTGTCCAGGGATCCACGAATATAGAATCTGGTATCCCCGAATTTTTAAAGAATGATTCAACTTCAGGATTCTGATTGCAACTGGATGAGTACATTGAGCGTGATTTTTCAATGACATTAAGGCACTCATGGAATCTGTGTAGATAATAAATTTTATGTACTTTTGTTTTGAAAGGTAAGTCAAAGCCAGATGGATTGCAGTAAGCTCAGAAGTAAGCACAGAGCAAACTGTATGTAATCGAACCCCTACTATTGTTTTTTCTGTGACGAAAGCGGCGCCAACATGATCCTGGGATTTTGATCCGTCTGTATATAGAGGGATATATTTCCTATATTTGTTTCTATGTTGAAAAAATATCTGCTTGTAGATGATTTCATTAGTTTGTGATTTACTCCAGTGTCGAAAAGTATCCAGAGAATGGATTCTCCAATCCTCCCAGGGAGGAATTCCAAAAAAATCCTCCATCTGTATATCTATATTAGACAAATTATACTCCTCCACCAAAGCACTCATCCGCAAGCCGAAAGATGGGACACATGATGGTCGTGCCTGATATAAACGGGAGTATTGGTCATTAAGCAATTTTGACCGCGTAGAATTTTCGGTTTGTGATAAGACTTTGAAATAATGCTTAAAACAAAGATTTTCACGTCTTAACCGCAGGGAGGTCTCGTTACTTTCCACATATAAGCTTTCCACTGGAGAAGTTCTAAAGGCACCAGTGCATATCCGAAGTGCTTGGTGATGTATCGGATCAAGTTTGGCTAATACTGAAGGCCTTGCCGACCCATAAATGATTGATCCATAATCTAGTTTCGAACGAATGAGAGCTCTATATATAAGAAGCATTGAGCCCCCAAGAAGTATTTGACAGTACTTTCAGAATATTCATAGTTTTTAAACATTTCTTTTTTAGATAGGTAATATGGGGGAGGAACGTAAGCTTATGGTCAAATATCATTCCTAGGAATTTTATTTCCTTTTCTACAGGAATCAGCACATCTTGCAGATAAAGTTCGGGGTCAGGGTGAGGAATTTTCTTTCGACAGAAATGTACACACACAGTCTTTTGAGTAGAGAATCTAAAACCATTTTCCTGTGACCATTTAACAATTCTATTGAGAGAAGTCTGCAGTTTACATTCAATGTCTTTCAGGTCTTCTCCCTGGCAACTGACTTGCAGGTCATCGACATAGAGCATACCCTGGACTGCTGGAGGCAGTTGTTTTAAAATAGAGTTAATTTTTATACTAAATAATGTAACACTTAATACACTTCCTTGCGGAACGCCCTCTTCTTGATGGAACATGTCAGAAAGTGTATCGCCTATCTTCACATGAAAACTTCCGATCCTGTAGGAAATGTTTGATGAATATTGGCATGTTTCCTTGTAAACCATTGTTATATAGGTCACAAAGGATACCGTATCTCCAGGTGGTTTCATAGGCTTTCTCTGTATACAAAAAAAATGGAAACATAATGATTTCTTCTAACGAACGCTCTACGGATACCTGTTTCTAAGAGTAGGATATTATCGATAGTTGCTCTTCCTTTTCTAAAACCGTTCTGATAAGCGGAGATACAATTATTTGTCTCTAAATAATAGACCAGACGAGTGTTGACCATCTTTTCAAAGAGTTTGCAGAGGCAGCTAGTTAGATGGTTCTAAAGAAAAGACTCAGGAACATATTAGCAGATAGAAAGGAAAGCTATGCACCGATGATGACTTTTTAGAATGATTTGTTCTTCATCTCTTACAAAAAGTCCCAAATTTTCTTAACTTCTTAAAAATGCTTTATTTTCTCACCTTTACCAGTGAGTAGA